AATTAAACCTAGACTTGAACAGGTTAAAATTGTAATGATTGAGAAGCATTCTTTTGGGAGTCAGTTTCACAAGTGTGGTTTGTGGAAAGATGCTCAAGTGGAACTTAGATCTTGCCAAAAGAATATGAAGGCTTGTGACATCTTGTCTGTGAGAAAGTGGATGTAGGGTGGAAAATAATTTGTCACCCACAAGGAGATGGAGGTACTTTTGGATTCTTATCAAGAATGGAAAGTAAACACTGGATCGCTTCTTTACAGGTATGGTAGCAGTACACCATTGTTGGCCTGATCTGGTTCTTGTAAAAGTACATTTATATACATTACAAATTAAACTAAACACAATTGACTATTAAAAGATGAAAACTTTTTTCAGATTTTGACATCATGCAAGGGTTTTTTTTGTTTTTTTTTTTCATCCAAATCTGTGAATTTGTTTTGCTCATGCTAAATGTAAAAAAAAACATTATATAAAATTCACTATTTTTATCCATAATGTTGAATATGTTGAAATGATTCGACTTTTTAACAAGAAAAATTTCAAGTTGATGTTAAAAACTGCCACAAAACATTGTTGATTTATTCAAGATGGAATGATCAATTATAACAGGTCTCTAATTTGTATTTAGATACATTTTATTTATTTAAAATTTTTCTAGTTGAATTGTTCACCTATACTGCACATGATCCATGACTGTACATAAATAGTGTTATATAGGAATAAAGTGTCTCTACCGACACTTGGGTTTGAACATACATTGCCAGTGAGCAAACTCAGTTGATTCCATTATTGAATTAAGTAGACCATGTGACTATAGAGGAAAAGCATAAGTAGAAAATCATGTGATGTCTAACTGATCACCATTTCTAGTCTATCCTCTATTACTATACAGACTGCTATTCTCTACTCTATTCACTACATTATTCTCTATTGCGATTACTATATGGATTACTGTTCAAGTGAGTATCATCAAGCAAGGACTATTAGTGTGAGTGTTATTTGAAGGTGTCTGATACCAGTATGGTTCAACAGTGTACTATAGTTGTCTGTGATTACAAAGCCTCTACTACAATGAGCATTACAAATAAACAACTATTAAAGGATGAAAAAATTTAGCAGATTTTGACGTTATTCTGGGGTTTTTTTCCGTCCAAATCCATGAATTTGTTTTGCTCATGCTAAATCTTAAAAAATCTTTATATAAAATTCACTATTTTTATTCATAATGTTGAATGTGTTAAAATTATTCAACTTTTTAGCAAGAAAAAATTACAGATGATGTTAATAAAACATTGTTGATTTATTTAAGATGGAATGATCTATGTCTCTAATTTGTATTTAGATACATTGTATTTATTTTCGATTTTTCTAGTTGGATTATCCACCTATATTGCATATGATCCATTATCATACATAATTAAGTTACAATAAAATTTGTATTTTATATGAATGTTATATGAATATTACCTTATGAAAATTGAGATGTAATAGATGAGCCCCCATTAAACTAACCATGTGTCCCATCTTGTCAGCGTGCAGTGGCAAGAAAATACAGTTGCTTCTCAGCCTTTTGGGTGGCATCAAAAGTGTAGTACAGTGTAACCGGGACATAAGAGAGTTGTCGGGACCGGAGAAGAAGTCTCTTATATCCGGGTTTCTCTTATATCCGGGTTTGGTCTATTTTATATACATTAACACAGGCTCTAATTTGGGGCCAGAGAAAATCTCTCTTATATCCGGGTTTCTCTTATATCCGGGTTTGGTCTATTTTATATACATTAACACAGGCTCTAATTTGGGACCAGAGAAAATCTCTCTTATATCCGGGTTTGGTCTATTTTATATACATTAACATAGGCTCTAATTTGGGACCAGAGAAAATCTCTCTTATATCCGGGTTTCTTATATCCGGGTCACACTCTATCAGCCTTTGGGCAGATAAATTACATTTCATGTCTCAGTTGTGTGTCTGACTTTAGACAGGGCGCAAATGAAAATATTATTGAGAGGTTCCCAGTCCCAGGAAACGGCCGCCTGTGGCAGAGCCCCCCCCCCCTTTTGCACTAAAGAGTGGGGATCAGTATTAATACCAGTGCCAGTGCAACCAATTGTTGTGTGGAGTGGGGATATTTTGGGACCTGGCACAGGTGCATATGCTCAGGATCCCCACATTAAACTGACCTTGTGTCACATCCTGTCAACTTGAGTCAGCAAGAAAATACAATATTGCTTCTCAGGCTTTTGGCTAAGATCAAAGTGTAGTATGTGTTCTTATCAGCTTAATCTGATTCTTCTCACTTCCATTTCTTTCATTTTCTCACCATAACCAAGTAGTGTCATTTCCCCATCTTTCCATGCAATCAAAACGGAATAGTCCATTATTTATGAGGTATTGGCAGGACGTAACGGTCGTGCGAACTAACAAAGGGAAGAACAAGCATAATTATGATAAGATTCTTTCATATATTAAGGGTTTCTGGAAAGTTCTCTTCCTGACCCACAAAAATCTTACCAAACATCAGATTTTTGTTTGAGAAAGGGTTTCTTGGTCAACCGAAATTTTTTCAGCACTTTGTCGTCTGTTTCCTCTCACTGTTTGTATCTTTCTTTCTTTTTCTAATTCTTTTCTTCTCTCTCCCTCCACCCACAATATATTTTAACATGATTTCCTCTTTTATTTTTCACTCTCTGTTTTTAAACCATCTTTCCTATCCCACACGGAACTACCAAAAATAACTGCTGTATTTTCAACTCCTCTCGCCTACCAGAACTTTACCGACCACGACTCTCTTCCGTATTCCTCTTTCTTCTCTGACTGTCCAACATCTCCCACTTTGCACTTTCGATGCTAAATTTCCTTCACTTCCGGTGTCTGTCCACCGATTGGCTAATCAAAAACAAGAAATATCTGGGAAATAATATGCAACTAGCCACTGGGTAATGGCTTGTCTCCCACAACTCACTCCGTATTTGTTTGTTTCCTTGTTTTTTTTTTTACCCATGTAATCTACATGAATAGAAGCTCTTTGTTTAAACACTTGCTCCTCACTTGTTGATCAGAAAAAATTAGTACCCATGAAGCTTTCAGGATTTTTTTTGGTATTTTAATTTTCTAATGAAACATTGTTCTTAATTTTATAAGCTCCTCACGTCTTCCAGTACGGTAAAGACTACTTACGATTATAAAATACTCGTAGAAATTCCCTTTTAAATAGCAATAAATATGAATGCCGGTCATTATTTAAAGAAGTAAAACGGTACAGATGAAAAAATGGACAAGTTTTTCAATTTCACTGAAGCAGACGTTAAAAACACGTCATCGCCTTCTCTATCTTCTTTTCTTTTTCTCGCTGAAATCAAGCGGCTTTTCTCGAATTATGCTTTTCTTCACTTCCTGGCCATTTAGTTGGGATCAAAGTGTAGTATCTGTTCTCCTCATCTCCAATGTCAGCGCTAATAATTATCCGTTTCCTTATAAGGAAACATTGAGCGTTCATTCCCTGAGCAGCCAGTGTTACTTTCTGTTGAAATTTATAAAAATCTTTCTCTTAAAACAATTCTTCAGGAAAATAGGTTTTTCAAGTCCACGAAAAATTTTATTGCTTTTTCCAGTATTGACGGGGGGGTCCTTCCTAACCTTTTGCTTGAAGTTTTGTAGAACGTCTTGACCATTTCAAACCGATGAGTTTCCATTTGATTTTGTTATATCGTGGATAATACGATATAAACAACCAGGTAATCCCGAGTGGAAAGATTATACTAACACAGGAATTACGTAAAACAATAATAAGTAAAAAGTACAATGAGTAAGACTAAGAGTTTGTAAATATATCAATCAGTAAAACGGGAGATACGTCTCGGAGATCGTAGTCGTCTTTCATACGTTTCTACTACAATAGTTCGTCACGTCTTTTATTCTCTCAATCACGTCTCTTCTCTAGACTGACCAGTCACAGCTGGGGTGTGTCAGGTTGTTCCACTATAAACAGATTTATTTTCAAAGAAAAAAAATTTAAATAAAAATTTCGTTACCACAGGAAAAAAAAACAAAAGAATTATACTTGAGGCAAAAACGACCAAATATTCACAATTCCTAAAGAATTAATAAAAAATAAAGGATGGCGGAAACTTCTTAGTCCAATTTATTAAAAATAAAATATCGATCTGTTTTCAATATATTTTTCTTAGATTAATTTCTTAAAATTCATGTTATGTAATTATTTTCTCTTCGAGTTACATGCGCTGTCTATTTTAGTTGTTTTCCTGTTGAAAGCCGTCAAGTGATGTGGTTTCTGTTATTTGGTACAGTTCTTTGTGGTTCTGTACCGCGAGTCTACAAGGTTCAAAGAAGGATGGTCCTGTCTAAAACCAAGTTCAGTGCCTGTTACCACTTTTCCAGTATTGATGGAATAAACCTTTGTTTGAAGTAGTATATAACATCAACATCGTGATTATTATATCATTATTTTCTATTCCAGTTACATGTGCTTTCCATTTTAATTGTTGCTGCTGTTGACAGCCCTTATGTGATGTGGTTTCTGTTTTTTCGTACAGTTCCTTGTTTGTGATTGGTGGCACGGACGGAACCCCCTTCCAAACCACAGGACAACCAGTATACAAGAGTAGACACTGAACTTTCTGTGTTAATAAAAAATATACGAGACATGTACGGAAACAAAAAGGGCACATACTCAGAATCGGAAAGAGACAGAAATTTCTTGGACACATCGTGAGGAAGGAGGGCTTGGAGAACTTGGCGTTCACAGGACATATTGAAGGCAAAAGAATAGTAGGGGGGGCAGCAGGCCACCTATATAATGAGCTTGTATGGATGGCTGAACAGAAACTGGGAGGTTTGGCAAAAGGACAAACGTTGCTAAGAGCTACAAGGAATAGGAATATGTGGAGAGCCATCATTACCCACAGAACACACGCAGAAAATAAGCTTATGTCGTAATTCGAACTTAGTCTGCTGAGTGCATTTTCAATGCTAAAATGAAAGTCATTACTTCGCATCTATTTTCTCTCTCATTCTATTTTCTCTCTCTCCCAGTCCATTTATCTATAGTCTCTTAGTTTCTATCTTTTGTTCCTTCATATCTATTTGCCGTCTTTTAAGTTCTATCTGTCGTTTCTTCATATCTAACAGTCTAGATAGATAGATAGATATGAAAATAGATGCGAGATAGTGATTTTAACATCGTTCCTTCATTTCTATCTATCTTTCCTTCATTTCTGTCTACCGTTTCTTCATTTCTATCTATTTATCGCCTCTTCACTTATAATTTACCTATCATCTATTCATTTCTATCTATCTACCGATCGTCTATTCATTTCTTTCTATCTACCGATCGTCTATTCATTTTATTATATATCTATATATATATATATATATATATATATATATATATATAGTCTCTTCTTTCTATCGTTCCTTCATTTCTATCTATATATCGTTCCTTCATTTCTATCTATATATATATATATATATATATATATATATACCTATCGTCTTTGCATTTCCATCTATCGTTCCTTCATTTCTATCTGTCATGTCTTCATTTCTGTCTACCTATCGTCTCTCCCGGTCTATTTATCGCCTCTTCACTTATAATCTACATATCGTCTATTAATTTCTATCTATCTATATATCGTCTCTTCATTTCTGTCTTCAATTTATCGTATTTTCATTTATATCTGTCTATCGTTTCCTCATTTCTATGTATCTACCTATGGTCTCTTCATTTCTATCTGTATCGTCTCTTCATTTCTAAGTGTTTTCCTGTCTATCTCTCTCTCTCTCTCTCTCTCTCTCTCTCTCTCTCTCTCACTCACACACATGCACACCTTCATTTTGGAGGTCTATCTCACATTAGTGAAGATTAATTTGGTCATAAATGGGTGCTTCCAACTTTTGTGTTGTTTTCTGTTAGACAAGGCTAAGATTGGTAAAATTTTTTTAACAGTCATATTGATCTCGTACACCGTTAATAGTGTAGTAAATCCTCACGTGATGCTGCACAATTGTGCATCTTTTGTCATGGCTCTCCACAACTTCCCGTAGACTGTGTTTTTGCTATATCTCCTAATTCGTGTTCTCTCAACCATTGACACACGCTCCTTGGGTAGGTTATGCGCTGTTTTCCTCTTGCCTTCAATATGCCTTGTGAGTGTAAAATTTTCCAAGCTCTCTTTTCCTCATTATGTTCCCTAGAAATTTTAAATGTCTCTTTCTGATGCTACTTATAAGTGTCCTTTTGTTCCCATTTTCTTTAAAACTTTGTCGTTGCTCACATGTTCAACTGCTTCCCTGATCACTACAATTGTAACCCATACAAGTCTAGGTTTAACCGTTGTCTTCCACACATATCCTTATTACTGTGGACATACCTACGGACGATAATGGGTATGTCCCCATTCACATAAATACAGTAGTAAATACTGTATGTTGGTCTGCGTTTCGAGATTCGTTTTCAGCTGTGCTGGTCAAAGTCTATGCCTCCGGGCAGAGAGGATCCCCAGACAAGGCTCTGTCGAAGAGCAGAGTCTCGTCTCGGAAAACAGCTACCCGACCCCGTTTTATACGGTGCCTACGGGGAATTTTTTGGCCGAAGCTACGGGCTCGGATATCCCACATTAAATTCGGCCCTGTGTCACATCTGACCGTGTGGAATGGTTGATAGATATTTTTCAGTTGGAGATTCATTGTGGAATTCACTTGACTCACTTCTAGCAGTTGACTACTACGCGCCGTTGGCGAATCTTATATGTGTTGTTCTTGTCCTAAGTATTATCGTTTATTACCAATCTTCGTTTGGTTATTCTATTCAGTAACCTTCCCTAGATTACGAAACTTACAGACTCTGCGACCCTCTACTTTGAGTGGCTCTTGGGCTTTGTACAAAGTGAACATTATTGTAAAAAAAAAAAAAAAAAAAAAAAAAAAGAGAGAATGGTACACCTTGATCTTTTCAATTTCGAAATTCCGCTCTTTCTCCATAGTCACCGCTCCAACTTGCCAAACACATCACCGGCCCTTTGATTTCTCCTGGCATTTTCACTGTTCAGTAAGCATGTTCGAAATAGGGTGCTACCAAGGCCAGTGTGTTCTACCCACCTACCCTCTCCCGGGCAGTATTTTGCGACCCTCCCTATCTTATCAACATTTGATTTTTTTTTCAACCTACAAATATATATACGTTACAAATTAAACTAAGCACAACTGACTATTAGTATGAAAGGATGAAAAGTTTTCGCAGATTTTGACGTCATCCTGGAGTTTGTTTTTATTTCTTCCAAATCTGTGAATTTGTTTTGCTCATGCTAAGTCTTGAAAAAAAAACATTATATAAAATTCACTATATTTTTATCCATAATGTTGAATGCGTAAAAAGTTTCTGTTTATAGATACTTTATTCAAATACATTCATTTTTTTTAAAAAATGTGTTAAAATGATTCTACTTTTTAATAAGAAAATTTTAAAAGTTGCCGCAAAACATTGTTGATTTATTTAAGATGGAATGATCTATTATGACATGTCTCTAATTATTTAAGATGGAATGATCTATTATGACATGTCTCTAATTTGTATTTAGATACATTGTATTTATTTTCAATTTTTCTAGTTGTATTGTTCACCTATATTGCATATGATCCATTATTGTACGTAATTAGGTTACAATAAAATTTGTATTTTACTACCTTATGAAAATTGAGATGTAGTAGAGTGGAGGGGCTCCGTATCATAGATTCGGTATGGGCCCAACAGACCCTTACAACGACCCTGGGCCGCTATCAATATAAACAAAGTAATGTATTGGTTCCAAATCAAGTACGAATGACTTCAAAAACACCCCCTCCCCAAATTCATAAACAAAACACACAGATGCATGCTGGGATTTCTTCCTAGCCAATAAGATAGGCCACTTCTTGGTCTCCTCTGACTTAGTTCTGTTCTTTCTTGTCTTGAAGCCAGAACACTGTGATCGCTTGTCAGCATCCCCTTTTGTGTGTGTTAACACCATTTTTTATTTTGTGAACCTTTTGCCTTATTTACTGTTGCCTTGCCTTACATTTTATCATTTGCTCAATATAATTTCTTGCTCTGTTCTATTTTCTTTCACTTGTTTTTATAAGCAAAACACAGATGCATGCTGGGATTTCTTCCTAGCCAATAAGATAGGCCACTTCTTGGTCTCCTCTGACTTAGTTCTGTTCTTTCTTGTAATGAAGCCAGAACACTGTGATCGCTTGTCAGTATCCGCTTTTGTGTGTTAACACCATTCTTAGTTTGTGAACCTTACTATGGAGTAATGGATAGCGGCTCGGATTGAGAAATCGGAGAGCCGAGTTCGAATTCCACTCGAATCCATTATGTGCTAATACTCTTGGGAAAGGTATGAATCCTCTTCTTCTCCCCGCTCTAGATATGGGTAAATAGCAGGACGGACCGAGTTCTATAGACTTGGATGGCAACTGATCTCCTGCAGAAAGAAATGGCAACTTACTGCGGAAAAAAATCTGCCTCGTCATTCATATATCGAAAGATACATGATCGCCTAAGCGAGTATCACTTGCCTTATTTACCGTTGCTTTTCCTTCATTTGTCTTGCATATATTATTTGCTTGCTTAATATTATTTTTGTCCTGTTCTTTTCTTTCTTTTTGTTATTGTTTATTGCAATTCTGTTTGTTGGCCATTTTGGACAATTACATTTAACTATGCTCAGTTACTCTATGCCTATAAACCAATTGTATAAAAGATATTTATTTAGTAGGGTGAGGTTTGATTGACGGAAGCTGGAACATTATAATTTTCTTGAAATTTACAGTAAGAGCAGTGCTGACACTGATGTAAGCGTCCACCTCCGCGTGGTGTAATGGTTAGCAAGCTTGTTACGACTGAATAGTGAGTTCGATCCTCAATGGGTACCCCATACTTTCGGCCTTGTGCCACATCTAATCCGCGCTTAGAAAATCACTATCCTACATGTTACGTGTCGCATACTAGTCTCATATAAAGTTACAGATAGCATTATATCTTGACCCACACTCTCCTGACACGTCCAGTTCTTTCTGCGTCTTCTCTTATTGACCTTGTCTCACTACACCGCTTGCGATCCATCTTGCTAATCTCATTGTGATGATGATGAAGATAAAGGGTCACGTTAGGAGGTAATTTGTACGGGTTGGAGTAGAAGATAACGGTTAACCCTAGCCTTGAACAGGTTAAGATTGTAGTGATCAGGGAAACATCCTATTGAAAATCTGTTCCACGGAGCAGTGGTTGGCTGGAAAAAGCTGTTCGAGTGGAACTTACTTCTCAGCGATGGAATACGGAGAAAAGGAGAGAATGTGGGTGGTTTGCTACTATGTAAGTGGCATGGTGGGTCCTGGCCGTGTAGGTTTAAATTTGCGGAACCAAGGAATGAAGCTCGTCCGAGCACTTTCCGTGGAAGTAGCGGTAGAGCAGTGAGAGGCTCACCAGATCTCGCGTTTGGAAGAGAGGTTTGCACACACACACACACATATATATATATATATATATATATATATATATATATATATATATATATACACATATACACACACACACACACACACCAGTTCAGAAGTTAGAGATCACCTATGATAATTTTTAAAATTGGGCCAAAAAGTAGTTGTTTTGTACTTTAAATAAGAGAAAATTATTAGACGTTGTTGAAAAAAAGTGAAACACGATTTTTAATCAGAAATTTTATTCTCACAAAAGAAATATTTTTCAATTTTGCTCTCGTCAAAATATCCTCCATTTACCTTGATTACTGCAGCACAAATTTGGGGCATTCGTTGCAAAAGTTTCTCAAAGTATAAATTTGATAATTGAGTCCATTCTTTTTTCAATTACTGTAATAATAGCTCTTTTCCATCCTTTCACTCTTCCGTTAAGTTCATCCAGTGCTAATTCAGGGGTGTTTTCAAATATTTGAACTATAGTATATATATATATATATATAAATGTTTGTGCGTGTGTATTTTTAATCACTTCAGCCCAAGTTAGACAATAACGCCTCTAAGGGATAAGCCTCTACTCCTGTTTAATGGAGTTAGTTCGTTCCTCGTCGAATTAGTACGTTGACGTTGAACTGTACTAAAGTAAGGTAATAATTGCAAGCTTGTCTAACAGACCAAACCTATAGTGTAGAAATTCGAGACTCAGTAAATACTCAATTGCTGTAGCATTGTGCTATATTAAGCTGTAGCCAATAATGTGGATTGACCACTGCTGGTCATTATATTGTCAAAACATCATGTCAGTTTTACATGTAGTCGAATGACAGCAAAGCATGTAATAATATTACATGATTTATATATATATTTACATGATTATGTATAGTTTTATTTTTTAACCAATCTGCCCTAAGTAAGGTGATGACGCCACTAAGACGCAAGGGAACGAAAGAGAATAAGAAGACTTTAGAAGGAATCGGAAACCCAACCCTAAACAGGAAACAAGGGGTAAATCTCTACCCCTGTTCAAAAAATCGGAGAGGAGTATGAACCGAGCGATATTTCTTCTGCTTATTACCCCAGATTCTCCTTTTCATGGCCTTTGTTCTTTCTCTGTTTCTAGAACTCTTTTTTGTTGTTGTTGTAATTGTTTTATCTGTCGCTAGCTTCCTGTTAGGTTTTGTTTTTGCTCTGTGTCACGAGAACCTACTTTCGTCAGCCATTTTGTTTTCTCTCAGATTCTCCAGCACTTTTGTGCCGTTTCATCTCCACACCCCGAACTGCCTTTTCGTTGGCCTTGTTTTGTTTTATTTTACATTTTTGATCGTTATTCTTGTTTTCTCTCTCTCTCTCTCTCACACACACTTCTTTTCTGTTCATCTATTT